TTAGACCCCAAGAGTTATGGTTCCTCGTGTAGCTTTTACATCGTCACGGGATTTCAAAATGACAAAAGATGTGTAACTAGAGTTGGACCTTGTCATAATATTTGAGGATGAAAAAGGGAAAGTAGCATAAGCACTTCACGATAAACTTCAAATTACAATTGTATCAAACAATATAGTTCTAGAAACAAAATAGACATCATACTTTGGTGTAAGTTTGCCTATTAAAGGTTCATCGTAACACAACGGACTCATAAATCAAAAGTGTGATAAGCCTGGGCTATCAGCCGCAGACAAGTGGCTATACAACAAGTTTTAAAATGAAATAAGGTAAATATATATGGCGTAATAGAATTTATCTTAAATATTTGTTGCTCTCGAAATAGCTAAGCAGATAAGATAATCATATTCTTTAACGACTCTCGATTTTGCACCTGGCGAATGCGAACAAAGCCAATCTTTGGGCATTCAAAACGCGCTATGTAAAGTGCATGGTATTTCCGTTGTAATCTTCACAGGTACGAATACTTTGGTACTTCTGAATCTGTACAAATACACAACAGTGTTATAAGACTTTCGTACAATTGTACGGTATTGTTTACGCACATTTGTGCGGGAATACATGGTGTGTGTGCACCATTGAATAGTACGTAATTCGTTACATCCACTCCCACCAAAATATGGACCACAACAAATCCACATCGTAATTGTTTTTAGAAGTATTGCGCGAGAGTGGGCACCCATTAAGCACCTACGGCACTTGCAATTTTTACTACTCTACCCTGCCTACTCTTGAGCATCTTTGCCTGATGAACTCTCCCCTCATGCCACACCACATGACCCGGAAACCCTCGGAGAAAAGTCACTCCTACGGTCGACGACTTCGCCTATACTCGGCAAGGATGCCCAATAGCTTGATGACAAGAACGGTCAGAGAATATCTTTGATTCCTATGCATAACCTCCTCGATCAACTGAAGACATACGAACAAATTGTTCACCAACGAAAACTTTTCGATGCCCTGCACCCCCTTTGCAGGTATTACGAACGCTATACCCGACACGCTAGTGAAATGGACCTGGTTCACAAAGTACGACGTACACGTAATATAGCTCAAAATTCGCAACGACTCGCGCTCAATTAATTATATCTGAACTATCTGAACTTGCACGTCGCGCTGGGGTAAGGCGTTAGCTCGCTTCTAAGTGCGAGATCTCTGCCGACCGGAAAGTAAAACGAGCCCCTAAATTTACAATTGCAAGCGCTTTCTAACACCACAAACCAAAAATTATTGGGAGCATCGCCTTCACTTAGAAGCAGCAGCAGCAGTCGATTCAATTCGTGCTTCCCATATGGACTGATCCAAAGGGGCTGAATACTAGAGAGATTCAAATGTATCACACACTGGCTGAGAAAACACGTCGCCTCTTACGTTTCACAGCTTGACAGCTACCTTTAGGTGAAATAGATCTCCGACCCAAGAATCAATTAGTATTATGCTTTGTGAAAAACAAAGCGCGACATTGACATCAAAATTCAAGCTGTCATTTTCAGTCATTGCTGCTAACAGCTGAGCTTGTCTTCATGAGGCAGCTGTTACAGCTACCACAAACCCTCGAGCTTGGAATAAGGTGCGGTGCCACTTTCCAGTGAGAATAATGCTGTGATGAAGGACACGTTTCGTATTCTGGGTATGTCAAGGTCTAGAGTGTGCGATGTTACAAGCATCAACCACACCAGAGAAGTGGGACCTCTAAATTTAATGAGTATTCATAATGAAAAATTCTGTTACTTCACTAAACATTGGTGATAGCCTGGATCCACTAAACGCTCAACATGAGGGACCACTTTTCTCCTGAGCGATGCGGACCGGAGTGAAGCCTCCCGTGCTGGCTATTGTAAGCGCTCTCGGTTATGGAGGCATATCTTCTTTCTCCCCAGGAGTTAGGCTTGCGTCCAGAACTGACATGGGTCTTATTTCGGATCCGCTCTCCGATATACACTGTCGCGCTGAGAGCTATCAGTATCACTAGATATTAGCTCAGCTACAATAGATGTTGTATATGTTGCATCATCTCCAACAATGCGTTCACATCCTACTGGCTCGTAAGAGCGAGACCGTAAAATTGCATAGCACCCCATACAAAAGGGTATGTGCTCATATTCTCTTCGGGATTGGAATAGTGTCATTTTCTTTTTTGCTATTCATGTAAAGTATTCGATGTAGCATGGTCGCAACTTACCTTTTATCACAGCCACTAAATGTGTGGGTTGGCCGATTGTGGCAAGTTTATTGTACTCCGCATTCAACCGCGACACGCACCGCTTTCTTAAAATGTGTGTATGTGGGAGCTGCATTTGCTAAGAGCACACTGAAATTAGTACCGTCGGTCTGTAGTTATTGTGTCTATTAGCGCCCGTAACTCCTGGACGATATCTAAAGAATGCTACCTCTAGTGATGGATAAACTAGAACTCGGAACGCCTTGGATACACCTGTCTTGACGTTTCAAAAACTCGCGACTTATGCCGCTTGGTATTGTCTATGGTGAAAACATATTTTTTCTATAGAGGTGTAATAAGTCAGTGCTCATTCTTGCGCTCGGTCACTAACTTCAAAGACCGCACGCGTGACTCGCGTCTCAGACTGGTCAAAGTCAAGCCATCCCCACCTTATCTTATCGAAAAATAAGATTCTTTCTCAATTGTATTGCCTAAGGACTTGGAAGCTCGATATCAGCGGCTTTATGGTGGGTGCAATATATGCTCTTACCGACGTCCAGCTAGGCGCATTCAAATGTAACTCACCCGCTCCGCACATTCTAATAGCTCGTGAACGCCTCCAGATGAGAATCTACCTCATCTTGCTCTAAGGCAGCCATTCCTCTTATCCACTAATAGGCAGGCACAAGCTTCATATTGTTATGCGTATATAGTTGATTAGGGTTTAGGTGTCTACTCGTAAATGTACATGCGTGTCCTGAATTTCAGCGCGATCTCCTACCTTGCAGCCGTTAGGAGGGCCCAGGTTGTCTGGAAATTTAAGAGTGACACATAATTAGAATAGAGTTACTTAGTAAATGTATATACTTAACTTCTTCAATAAATGAGAATATCGTTTTGGCTTGACGTGCAATCATACCACGAATTTTTTTCTACGAAATCCTATTATGTTTATTAGTACCGATACTCGACATAGTAAAACAAAGGCAAAAAGTTGGATTTTGTGCTGTTACATAATGTTGTATTTTCCAACATTGTTTATTTACCATCACACCAAAATGCAAGGTGTATGTACGCCATGTACCCTGTTAGACTGATTATAAGTAGCATCGCTTTCTAATATCATATCTTTCTCATTGCTAATTCAGCTACTTTTTTCCTTCTTTCTCTGCAACCTGTGCTTTACCTGGCTAGAAAAACGAACCAGTTTGACTTCTGTAACAACCCCGCCCGGATGGACTTTGCTTTGCCAAAACACTTCTTTTGATCATTATTTACTGATGAACTAGTAATGATACATACACAGAATATGTGTAAGCCGACGATCAATTGTTCAAGGAAAGGTCAATGGAGCTGAATTAAGGCAGCCTGAGATGCGCGTCTAAAGTGGGCGAACAAGCACGTCCGAAGAATGTGACTGCCCTGGCCAGACGGGTGTGTCATAGGTGGGTGAGCTGGACGCCCCACTGACCAAAAAACCTCATAATGTAATGAGGGGTACGGAACACGGCCCACGACTAGCAAGATTCCGCGCTAGAGTAGGCTTAGTCCTAGTGTGTAGCATAAATATCCCAAAAATTATCAATAGCTGACAAATCCTGTATCATATCTGGCAGTTGAATGCAAGAGGGCTTTCGCCCACTCATCGAGAACGATCGCGGTGGGATTGTACTGCCCAGCTCTCAGCTTTTACATGGTCAGGTGATGTCTCTGTAGAAAGCTCTTTATCCAAGTAGCTGAAGCCGACAAAATGCCTAGGCCATCTAGCTCTTTGGCCATGTTTAACGCGTGCCCTGATAACATTGTTCCCGCCACAAGCACGCCAAGCTTCTGCACTTTTCAGCGTCTATTATACGCTTTTTACTACGCTTCGCCAGCACAGACAGCTCGAAAAAAGTGCTCTTCTGTTGCCATCATATCTTTTCCCTTGTCAAAGTGCTTTATCACTCTCAAAAGTCGCATTTTTTGAGTTACCACAAAAAGTTTATTCATTTGATAGGAATTTTCTGCTTACTAATAACGATTGGTCAAACGTCAGAAATGATTTTTTTACTTGCGATAGTAGAGAGAAAGTATATCTAAGATCCAAGACCTATTTCGAAGGTACACGTTCGTTGACATTGATCGTGCTGTTGAGCTTGAATGTAATCACTAAACTTTGCCGGATGTGCTTGCTGAGCCGGCAGAGCACTGAGCACTAAACTTCTGTTATGTTGTATACAGATGGATAAGTGGCGATGCTACCGTACTGAGCCATGTCCTGATGATGACACAGAAATGCCACGATCCTCCACTATTTGCAGCAGCTTGTCAAGATGGTCCGACAACAATAGACGCATATGCTGCGCAATCTTCCTACTGAAATCGGCTTCACATGTTGCGGTCATGATCACGTATACGATCATAGATGTATTGTCTATTCACAAGAAAGATCTGACAAGATTGGGAGCTCAAGTATTTTGTAGAAACTTTATCAGTCGTATTCCAGATTTGGCCTGGCGGATTGATAGTACTTTTTGACTCACACCCAGCAATATTAACAAGTTCCAGTTCAGCCTTGAAGTCAAAATCATGTTTCAAAGTTGCTCTACTCAGACTCTTAAGGGACAACGCTCTGGCACCTAAATTTCGCCGAATATAGCTGCTGTACGAACTTTGGCGTAATCATCTTCATGATAGAAGCTGCGCTTTTGTCAAAATCGAAATCTATTTTCATTTGAGTTCCACTATAAAATTATTGTAAAAGTCTAAATTTTTGGATGTACGGAAGCGTTCGTGTATTTAATTCGACGTTAAATAGATACACTACACACTATCATATATATTTAATGAGCGAGGGTGCATTTTTCATGCAACTGAATCTGTATACCCGTGCCTTATCTTGAGGTTCAACCAAACATGCCTCGTAAAATACTTTTGAGCTAGCCAGCTCCTCTTGAGCTACTTCCAGTGCGTCACAATTAGCTGCATCCACGAGGCATATCGAGCAGAAGTCGTGCTTCTCTTCGACAACAGACTGACTTGGGGCGACGATACATACAAACTTTCTAGAGCAACATTTTGAACAAATTCGCCGCAGGCAGCTCTTGCAGCTCTTGACTTTGGCGCCAAGAAAGCCAAAGCTTTTAAAGCACACAGCACATTGTCCACGAGTGACGGCGGCTGGTTTCAGGGTGAATGATGAATTGTCATTAAAAAGGGACTGTGACGTGGGGCGGCCTGACAGTTTCTGCATGCGCCATACCAGCTTTTTCATTAACGCACACTCGGCATTTCTAGTGAATGAAGCCCATTGCGAAGCCATGGCCTGAAGCGACATTGTATTTACCATTTCGTTCTGTGTGTGGAAATCAAAGAATCCGCGCACATAGCACTCAACAGTTGTCGGGGTCTTTTGAATGTAAAGGGAGCAAACTGACATGTTTCCCCGTTCGATACCATGCATCTCCTCTGTCCCTGATACATCTGCAAAGGCCACTGAGTGTGATATGTTATATCCGATGCGCTCGCGCTTCACCGTGTACGCAATTCCTGTGGTGTCCAAGGAGACGTAATCACGCTGATTGTTGTATAGTCGCCACTTAACACTCACGTGGTGAAAAGGATCATCCATTGAAGGGTGAGCCAGCTCGTGAAGTACCTTACTGTCAACAACACCGTCCTGGATACAAGAGGTCCTAAATCGGATAGCCTCATCCGTAGTAGCCACAGCGCCGTACATAACATCATTAAGCGTCCCCTCAAGAGTTCCAAGCAAAAGCAACGACGGTATGGAGGGCAAGCCGTTATTACGGGTGCGCTCACGATAAATACGCACGCCATCTTTACGCCGCAGCTCCTTCCATCGCCGCCTGTCAGCAAAACCGTCCTTCGTTTTAAGCAACGTGTTGTACTGCTGGACATTGTGCATTGTAAGCGTCTCAGCTAGCTCGCACAAAAGATCGCAATTTTGTTCCGAAAGTTTTAACTCCGACGGAGTTGATGTCGTGGGTGTAATCATATTCTCAATTTGTCAGCGTTTTCGTGTGAAGCATTCAGGCCGGATGCAAAAATGAGTCACATGCCTCGAAAAATCAAATAAGTCCGTCTGAGTTCGCGTGTCTTAGGCAGCAACACTGGAGCAAGGACAGGCAAAATGTATTGCGCAAGTTGCCCGCGCAGATGAGTTGCGTACCCCGCTCGCTGAACGCTGAACCCACCTAAAATTACCAATTTGTTGGTGGTATTATACAAGTAATGAGATAATTGAAAATATATAGTTAGACCAAGAGTCGGGGGTAAGCTTCTGTGGCAAGTTGAAGTACCAACTTCAGATAATTGCTTCCATGATAAGCTGTGCGCTGAAATGAAGCCAGAATGGGCACCGTCAGGACGAGGGGAATATCATAATTTCACCAACATAAAAGGAAGCCTAGTGTCTTAAGCTATAGAGAGGTTGGGCAGAAGCTTAAGTGTGACCTTGTATTGAATATCTGAATATGCAGCTGGTCGCTAAATATATTAGTTGAATGATGAAAGCTACTCTACCATCTATCGCGAGCTGCGCTGGGAATATCTGGCTGCATGTGAAACTACTTTACAGGCAAGTAGGGCATGTCAAATAAATTCACTTTCGCGTGCAGACCGATCTCTACAGTCTCTTACATTTGACCATACCAAAATGCAAAATCGAGGATAAACTTTACCTACACTATAAAAAAGGTTCGAAAGAGTATACGTGAGTGGCGGTAAGCGCACGTTCGACCCGCCGTTCCAGCTCGCTCTATTACCAAGATTGCTGTTGTGTTCTTTGCGATATGAAACGCATTCTAAAATGATAGTCTGCTTGCATAACCATCCACTGCATCTGAATATAATTCGTTATTTTAGGTTGCTCTTTTCAGACGAGCAGTATAAACAGTCGTCAGCTGCGATGTAGTCAACTAATTCACATGTATATTTCATTGTAATTATAGACTTTACATGAAAACTTTCAACTTCGTGTGCGCTTTTTACAAAGTAATGACGCATACGCATGCAACGCATAGTGACAGCAGAATAGGGTTCAGCTTAAGTCATAGCTGAAGCGGATAGCTCTGTCACATTTTGAAATATCAGCAATTTTTACGAACTATTTCTTACTCATCTAATGTGCATACTTTTGTGCGTTTCCAAATTTTACGTTTGTTTAGGGAAAATAAGAAGAACCTACCAGATAAACAGAATAAAACAATATACCAGATATTTGAAAAATAAAAAAAATACCAAGTGTATACTACTTCAAGTTTAGTGATGTATAGATACATATGTATACATATTTGTGCCAACATCAAGTGCGATTAAAATGAAAGTGACAAACGAAAAAAATCATTATATCTTGTGGAAGTGATCCATGCAAAGCTAAAAATTTATCGATAACATTCAAATAATTGATCAAAGGTATGACGGGAGAGGAAGACATCGATGTCACCCTCGAGGCTAAGCCCCCGCTGTAAATGCCTTTCTTGTGCTGGACAAGATGCCCTTCGAAGAGTTTGGCGGTGCCTTGAAGCAGGCAATTTAGCTAAGGTGGTCATTACACGACCAAACGAGGAGTTTAACTTGTCGTCGCTTTTGAATGCAGCTGCCTGGGAAGACACCAAGAGAGTGCTGAACGCACGAAGTGGCTCCATTTTTTGATCAATATTGTGGGGAAATCAGTGCTATGTTTGCAAACACGGCTACACCTTCACTCGTGACGCCATAGACCTTGTGATCAAAACCAGCATCAAGTCTGAAACTGATGAATGCGTGTGGGACTGTGTAATCACGTCGAGCGTATTTTTTTTCATCCGAATTCCCAAATTGACCCCGCTTCGTGATCCAAACGATATCATCTGAAATGATGCTTTCATCCAGGCCCAAGTTCATCTTTACCATAATAGTCAACAATCTTGTTCTTCAGGTCTTTGTCGGTGAAGGTTAAGTCCAATTAAGGATCCGAAGCATTCTTGCGCAGATAAGCTTCTATGGCGCTAAATTCCCATCGATCTAATACTTTCGAGCCTCCTTCGGGTATATTCCTATTCTTGAGGTGTTGTGCAAATGTCATAAGCTTCCCTGTACTGCGATGCACTTTCATGAGCGTGAGCATCCGTCAAACTTGGGTTTACCATATAATCCACCACGCGTAATATCACGGAAACGCACGTAAAATCCAATAAATTTACGACTATAAACAAGAAGACATGGCTTTTTCAACAGTCACAGACTACATAAGTGGTGGATCTATTCATACGATCGCGTACAAGCTTATAGATGCGCAACGTACCACGCACTGCATCTACGTCACTATCAAAAAGCAAAGTTGCGTCTTCATTCACCACTTTACAGCAAATCGCTTTCCTCGGATCATCCACCAATGCGTCCTAATAGCATCTGTATATCAAATTTGGCAAAACACAGGCGATGAAAACGGCATATTCTGGCTGTGTTTCAACGTCTCCAAAATTCGCGTCAAAGAGTATGCAAATGGGTCCTTATTCTCTACAACATGCAGCATAAAATTATTCGTATACATCCACTTTGAGTGCGACAGACCGTGCTACAGTGTCAAGTAGACTGGACGATCGTTGACCCACTTTATATACTTGCAATTTTCGTGAAAATTTATTTGAAGGCACCTGCACCGCCAACTGCTTCTTAAGTTGAGTGTTCTCTTCTACATGGTCGAACAAGAATTTGAATCATTGCAAAGTGACCTTAACGATTTTGCAGGTCTTTGACTACGTCTTAGTGTGCAAGCACAGCGATGAGATCGCATAGACCGAGCCTTTTGTATGAAACGCTTGGGTATATTGTACGACACAGCATTCCCGAGGAATTTCCGTGGCACATCAGCTTCTCACTGCGTGTTTTCCACTTTGCTGACATCGACAGCTGTACTCTCCGTCCCACGCACGCGATAAATGAGTTACATGTACCACGCAAGACAACGGGGATGACTAAATTGTGAAAACAGAGTGTTGCTTTGATTCAAGAACAAGTTATCAGCGTTTGGTTCAAAATGTGGACCGGGTGTACGATAGCTCGTATCCTTGAAAAAGTTACCTTTTTGTAAGTCAGCACAAAAGCGTTGGATATTCTCTTTTGCAGCCTTCTCTTCCGTTGATCGATTCAAAAATGAATCTCTTCGACCAAATCGAAAGATACCAAATGCAAGAGAATCCTTTAGCGCCTTAAATTTTAACCGGTGCTAATGTCGCGGCATCTATATTTTGTGGATGCTGCAAAATACGTTCGACAATCGATCAATAAAGTTTACACCAGGACGAAAGTGTGAGAAGACGCGATACTCAGTCGACGGAAGCATTACATCGGGTTGATTAGTCGCAAGTGCCGTTAAACCATTACCATTCTGTAGACGATCTTTTTCATGAATCGACCGGAAGTGCGAGGATGGCATGCTGGCAAGGAACCAAGGGATGGTTTGCTAGTAGTTCTCATTTGAAAACTTGTGGTGTGCTCGCGATAATTCGTCCTTAGGCTCCAATATCGCCACTTTTGGCTGAAAAAGATTGAGGTGGCAAAACGCTAGTGTGACGTCGAGGTACGCTAGAAAATGAGAAGCGTGCAGCATCGGATCGAATAAGCTGAGGAATGACAGAGTCGATGACAGCCCTTCGTGATTTGCTTTGATTCCATTGACATCGTGATGTGAGCTCCACGTAAATTGGCGATAGCAATCAATTGCAGAAGCAAAAGTGTCGATGTCTAGCTAGCGGAAACCTACAATCTACGTATTTGCACC